CGTCTTCCCCCCGCATAGGGTATATTCGATTAACAAAGCAATAATGAAGATAAACAAATTTGTGAAGGTTTCGTCTTCTAAACAGACCCCTGTAAAAAAATGCCCCATTTCTAAAAAGATGATTATTACTAATTAAAAACATTTTATTCAATGCAAAGCATTTAAGAATCCATGAAATAATACCAAGCATCTTTAATGATCATTTTCAATCCTTTCGGATTTTATATTTTAATAAATCATACAGTGCACAGAAAATGAGAACACTCTGAATACCTTTTAATCTAATGATAGTTATTTTTTACTAACTGAGACTCAATCACTTACTCAATCACATTTACTCAGACTCAATCACATTTTAAGTGAATTGAAATATTTTTGCACATAATTTTATAATTCGTACAGCAAATGACAATTTCATGCAAGAATAAATTTGTTTATATATATATATCAGGGTTCCCACTCTTCTATCAAAGCAAAAATTAAGCACTTTTAGGGCCTTTTATCAAAAAAATTAAGGACTTTTTTTCTAGAAATTAAGGACCTTAAAAGTGGCATAATGATTATTTATCATCAAATAAAACATCATAGATTAATAATAATAGATTAAAAAAATGGAATAGCTTTTCTTCAACTCAGTCATCCTTTAAAAAATTTAAAAAAAAACTACATAAAGAAATGTTTAATACAAATAATCTGTATTTAATTAAAATTAAATTGCATTCAATCACCTCACGTAAGCTTTTAAGAATATAAAGAAAAAAAGAAAAACTCAGAATGCAGATTAAACATTAAGATTTTCTACTTCACAATTAGAAAAAAAACTGGGTAAACAGATAGAAATATATAAATTAAGATGGTAAATTCATTAAATTAATAAAAATATCATTTTGAGTGCTCTAATACTAAACCAAGACAAAAAGAAACTAACAAATCTAAGCTTATTGAAGTTAAGACAATTATTTTAAACTAAGTAAAACCTAATTATAATAAGCTAAAGATTTATTAAAATCACAAAATTAATATAGAAAATTTAATGATTAAATTCGGAATATATTTAGTACCTAACAATCAGGGAAAAAGAAATAAATAAACTATAAGGAAAACTTATTAATTAAAATTAAGAACTGAGAAATAGAAATGATAGTTAAAATAAGTGCTAACATAAATATTGAAACACAGGACAAGGCAGGAATGCAATGATCAAGTGAAATAAAAATGAAAAAATTCCATATCTAAAAATTGAAATGAAATAATTCATTATGTACAAAATTTATTCTAAATGAAGGGGAAAAAACAACAAAACGTAGTGGAATTAGAAACATCATTTATAAAAATAGATAAAAAAATCTTTATAAAATAGTCTGCTTTTAGTTATAAAAAATTGTATGCTTACACTGATAAGCAATACTGCACCTCTGAGGAATTAGAATTTATTCAATAAAAAAGTATTGTATCTTGTATAGATATTAAAGGATTAAAATAATAGACGATAAAAAAATTTGTTCGTAATANAGTCTGCTTTTAGTTATAAAAAATTGTATGCTTACACTGATAAGCAATACTGCACCTCTGAGGAATTAGAATTTATTCAATAAAAAAGTATTGTATCTTGTATAGATATTAAAGGAATTAAAATAATAGACGATAAAAAAATTTGCTCGTAATAATTAAAGTATTGTTTGAAATTATAAAACAATAATTAGTCAAATAAATCAAAGCTAATGAAAATTGGATATAAATATGAATTATATATATATATATATATATATTACTATTATTATAAAATAGGGCATAATGAATAGTGATTTGGTCGAATAGTCAAATATCTGGCCAAAAAACGGCCGCCTACCCAGTGATCAAACAACATTTAAAAAAAAAAAAATCCTCAAGAATTATTATTGTTTATGTAAAAATAGGCCTGGGCATTGTAAGAAATTTTATATCGTGATAGATCATCAGTCAGACATCGCGATGTATCGCAATTTAACATGTTTAAAATTTATCAATCAGAAATCTTTAAATGAATCAAAAATAAATCTATAACAACAGAAATGTTAATTTTGAAAAAAAAAATTGCTTCTATAACATCAATAGCATTGCTTAATTTTTTCAATTAAAATAAAGATGGTTTGACTTAAGACTGTCTTAAAGATTGACTTGCCTTAAAGTAAAAACAAACACAAGCTTTATTTAAATTTTTTTTAAAATTAAAAATGACTTAGATTTTTTTTGAATAATAATAAAACTGTAACAAAATATTTTACATACATTACAAATTAAAAAAAAAGTGCTATTGCAACATTGTTAGGCTTTTGTTAATTACTTATTTAAAATAATAAAGTTGTATTGAATAATGGTCAAATGGTTTTAATGTAAGTTTTTTTATTTATTTACTATTATTTTCCTTTTTGTAAATGAAATAGATTAAAGATTTAAATGTTTAAAAATAATACTCACTATCTGAGAAATTATTAAACAAACATGCATTGAAGGAATTTTAAAAAAAAAATTTCATATTTAAGAGCACTATTGTTAAATTATTGAAAAGCGTTAAAACATTGCTTAACATTTTATTTAATTTCAAAAAAATTTTGTCATTTTAACTAACAGCCAAATTAAAAAGAAAAAAAAAGAAAGAACGCAAACTCTGTTTCAATTTTCTCAAAAATAAAAGCAAATTAAATGTAGGTTGTGTTTTAATTTTTTTAAACTGAAAGCGACTGAAGATTTATTGGTTTAAAAACTAATCAAATTATCATATTTAAAAAACTAAACTCAATGGCGCGACGCCATGGCCTACTGTGCCCATCTCAGTTTTTTTAACCTTGGGCTCAGGGGTGCAACGTAAATTAAATAAATTTTTAAAAAAATTAACTTTCATGACAAAATATAAATTACTTAAATACAAAATATATAAAATATTAAATTGTATCACTTTTAAAAAAATCAATAAAGAATCTTTTTATCAAAAAGGTCAAAAATGGCGCATAAAAAAACTCAACGCGTTCTATATTTCAACCTATGATTTCAACGCTAATCCTCGCTCTTCGTTATTCAATATCGGCCAGCCGATATGTGCATTAAGTCGATAATTCGCGATACATCGATTTAAAAATGTCTAAGAGTAGTGCTCGTTAAAATTGCAGCATCGTAGCATAAACAAGAGCTTTTTTTTTTTTTTAAATGGGAATAAAAACAAAAAATCGTTCTCAACTTTTATAAGAAAAATTTAACGTTGAAAATTACACTTTAAGTGTTTCGAAACGCCGGATTTTTATCAAAAAATGACGAAAAAGAAGCTCTTCAAAATATGCTATCAAAATAAATTAAAAAAACACAATTAATCAAAAAAGTTAAAGAGAATCAGAACATTTTCCTAAATTCTTAAGACAAAACTTGCAACGTAGAAAATCAATTTTCTATTTTACCGGTTATCTAATTATCTGAATAAAAATAAGACCTCCACTCACATGCAGTATCACGATCCCCTCTCCCTACACTAAATTATTTTCTTTCAGAGTCATCCAGAAGGAATATTTTAATGAAAAAATTAATAATAAAAGGGGGAAAACAAAAAGGGGGAAAAAACAAAAAGGGCGTGTTTTCTCCCACTTGCTTGTAACCCCTACCCTCACACGCATTCAAAATGTTCTACCCTCGATGCAGGGTCTCATTCTAGGAGAAAGACGTACTTTTTAACTGTGGATATTTTCCAAAGATAAAAAAAATGTTCCAACCAACTAGTGATACTAGAAATAAAGGGCTATTAAGGACCGTGAATCAAAATTAAGTACTTTTAAGGGGCCCTTAATTTTCAAAATAAAAACTAAGCAGTTTTTATGGACCGTGGGAACCCTGTATTTATATACTGTTAAATATTTCAGGTCGGAGCGTCAATAAAGAGGTGCATAAAAGTTTAAGCTTCCAAAAAATTGGGTCACAAAATTTTAAGCCACAAAATAGTTTAAACGTCACAGTTTTGAAACCAACGGTGGTAGCAATCTAGTCAGTGTTGCGCACCGACCGTCCTTATTTTCCAGACAAACTGGTATCCAACATGAATGGGGGGGGTGGGAGTTTCAAGGTAAACGAAAAAAATAAAAAGTTCGACAAAAAAGCAGCAGAAATATTTTATAAATGTAAAGATAAAATTAATTTATGTGAAGATTAAAATCACTCAAAAAGATAAAACTTTCTGAGAGACTGCTGTTATTTGATACCTTAATATGCATGCGTTATTAGATACATTATATATAGCACTAATATAAACTTTATTTAATTGTTTTTACAATTAAAAATATATATTAAAGTAAAGCATTATTGCAACAGTCAGCTGTGGGCTAGGAGGTAAAGATTCCACAATTTTGTGACCATCGCCATTATTGTGGCAAATTTGGTTATGGCACAGCCCCCCTTTACTTTCGCAACAAGCGTCTACCCATTGATTTGAAAATGGGGTGGGGCCTCATTCCACCACTGAAGATCGAGCCTTTAAAATGATAGTTCAGTGCCCTAACCACTCAAAGGCCAAAGGTTCAAAAAATATGAAATATAACTTAAACTTCGTATCTAAATTAATTTTTTCTTCAAAAAAATATTTAATTACGCTTGAATAATTATTTAATTGCATTAAATTCGCATTTAATGAAGATAACTATTATTGTTATTGGGGTGCTTTTTTTCCAAAGTTTTTATATCCGATTTTTTATATCCGTGTTTCTTTCGGTGTTATTCTACTGTTATTTGGGTTTCAAGCCATCATCTGGGATAGTATCAAATTTATATGGAATCAGACGTTTTGATAGATTCAGATTAAGTTTAAGATGAATAAATATTATTTAGAGTTTAAAACTAGTGACATTAAAGAAAATTCCCTTCATTTGTAAATTTTTTCCTTCTTGAAATCAATAGCACAACTCATGAAACTCATTTAGTGAAATTAAAAGCTTTTTTACGTAATGAATTTGTTTTCTTAATGGATAATTGAGTTAATTACTTACCAGCAAATGAATATTTTCTGTATCCATCACGACAAGAGACTTCTTTTACATTCTTTATGTTTCTCAGTGCTGCTCTCAATCTTTGTTTGGAGTTCACGTGATCTTGGTGTGACAACGGGGCTTGCCGACCTTTCATTTTGTCCCATGCCTGATACAATTATATATATATATATATATATATATAATAAAATGTAATATATATTTAAATAAAATGTTGTTTGTTATTTTTTTACTTATTATTTCCCACCCCCTTTTTTCATATATCTATTATTTTTCTTTGTTTTATTCTTCATTTTGAACTTTTCTAATGAGTGCTGTTTACTTGCAGCTTAAGCGCAATAAATGATACTTATTGTTTTTCTTAACTTTCTTAGTGTTTTGTTGTATTTATTTATATATATATATATATATATATATATAAACAAAAAAATGGAGAATACTATTGTAATGACATATTTTGCTTTGACTATATTATTTCAAAAATACAAAGTACTCTTCTTTGCGGATATAATCGTGTGGGCTGATGACGAGACTGTCTTTTCCTTATTTTGTTTCGCAGCAATTTAATTAATTTATTTATTTTTAATTTTTAAATATTTTTAAAAATACTTTTTTGTAGTAATTTTTCTTCTTCACTTTAACAGAGTTATATATTTTATTTCCACGTCTATATAATTAAAAAATTAAATTTCATCACACAATAAAGTAATTTAATAATAAAAGAACTTTATTATTAATTATTAATGAATTTATAAGATTTAAATGAAGAATTTGCCTGAAGTTTGAAAATCAATTGGTTGCATGCAACTCGAGAAAATGGTTGCTGGTTATGAGGAAGCAAGATGGCGTCTTAACATTGTAGATTTTAGAATTGGTTTATTATGAAGCTTAATCAATTTTTCCGATTGCATTTAATTGGATATCAGCCAGCATCGCGAGTGGGTGTCGAACCTGATTGGCTTCTGAATCTTGACATAAACAAAGGTCACGAGTCAGAATCCAATAAGATGCGACTTTCACTTGTGACAGCGAAATGTGTGTGAAAACGCCAAGCTTGGCAGTGCAGATAGATGCTAGAGCAACGAGACCACATTTTCTTTAAAATAGCTAACTATCGGAAGTAAAAAAAAAGTGGCCTTGGGTAAATTTTCTACATATACATGGTTATTCATAATTCCCTCCGGGATTTCGAAGCGTTTTAGTGAAAAAACGAAGACGAATATGGCAAAAAAGAACATGAAATTGTTCCGAAAGTATTCAAGTTTTATTTTAAGCAGTTACCGTTAGATGGCAGAAACATGTACCACTGAAGCTAATTGTAGTAAACATAAGGTTGTAGTAAACAGAGGGAATTATGAATAACCCTGTATAGATATATATTTTTGATGTTTAGTAAACTCTGAAACATTCGATGACATTGTTTTTTTCTTCTTTTTAATTGATTTGTGATTGTGATGGACGAAATATATGATACGCGTCAATTTTACAATAAGTCTACTTGACGTCATTAGAGCGAAATTTGGGGGTCTATTATGCTAAAAATCACAATTTCTTTTAACTTTAAGAACATATGTTTAAAATTTAATGAATGTAAAGCTTTTATTTTAACATAAAAATGGAAAAATATATTTGACAAAAATATCGGACTTTTCAAACATCTTTTCAAACCCATGGATGAATCAGTCAAATTGATTGATCGTCAGTTATGTTATCGTTAAAATATTTGACAAAAACTAAATTGTTTATATAGTAGTTTACTTTAAAAATTGGCTTCCTATTAAAAAATTTAAAAATGCCATTTTTAAAATGTCCTATACACAGACGCACACAAATTCCTTATTTTATTACCTGCATAGATAGATAGATAGATTATATTTTATAACACGACAATTGAAGATATAAGTTAAAAAAAATATATACATATTTAAATATTAAAATTAAGCAAAACATTTTTCGAAAAAAGCTTGTAATCATTATTTCACACACTCATTCATACTGTATAAACATCTTAGTGCAGGAAGATTATTTTCTGAATTTCCACGAACTTAGAAAGTATTAAAATTGATACATAACATAACATCACTTGCTCATTTTTTAAAATTAACTTTTCATTTTGGCTAAACTAATTTACTTTCGGAATTAATGAATTGAAAGATAACTTATTGCTAATTTTTTATTCATATAATAATTCAATTAAATCTATAATTCAATCAAATATGGACTAAGAGAATTTAATGTGATAAATAAATGTCATATTAAGTTATAATTGACGTACTTGTCATAAAATTTATTTGAGTAATATTTTTGTAAGAAATTATAAATATTTGACAAAACTAACCTTTCCGTCTACAGACCTACCATTTATAACTAATTGAACTAAGAAGTATGGCAGCTTTTTTGACTATGACACTGACTTTATTACCTCCAGCTAAATTAAGATTTTATAGTCGTGAAAACACATAACGATGCAGGGTTTTCTACAAATCTCATTATAAGGCTATTATAGAGTACAGTAATTTGCATCACTACAAAATGAAATTTGTAAAAATCCCTGATCATTTTCAGCTTTCTTTATAAAAAAAATATGCAAAAACTACACGAAATAAATGATTGAAATTTTTTTAAATTTTTAGGACATTCAATTTAGATTTTTTTTATTAGTCACTAAAAACGAATCACTAGATAATTATGAAATTTTTTTTTTAACTTTTTCTTCGCATATACAGCATACTACGTTAAATATTAATATCTCGCGCAGTTTAGACTTTTCACTTTTTCGTTTTCAGACTTTTTTTCTTTTTTTTTTTAAATTTAGAAATAATAATTTTGTAATTTGTACAAACTATGTTTTTAATTGTTTCAAGAAATTTTATTTTATAGAATATTTTTACAAATCATAACGAAAAAAAAACGTAAGACCAAAATAGTTAAATTTTTAAAAAATGTCCATACCACCATTAATATTTAAGTTAAGTTACATCCAGTCATTGCAAGTAAACAAAGTAATCGATACAAATAACACGTTTATTGTTTGATTTTCCGGCGTAGGATGTTCAAAAATAGTTGTTTTTTTTTCGTGATTTATTGTAGGTTCCTCAAACCTTTTAAATTGTTAAGTAAAATTTTATTGCTAAGTATGAAAAACTGCATTTATCTAAAAAGTTGCTTAGTGAGGTCATAGACGTGCCGTCAAATAATTTTGACTTCGTGATTATTGGGAAAATAATAATACTAAATACTCTCAACTCAAAACTCTTTATTTACATTGAAAAAAAAAACATTTTGCAATGTCTCAGTTATACGCGTAATTCAACTTAAAGTAACATCAGTGTGACTTCTGTTGTTGCAGATTAGATGACCAATAACTTATATCAGGGTTGGAGTTTTTGCCGGTAAAAAGGGGTTTTTGCCAGGACAGTGGCAAAAACCTGGTAAAAACCGGCAAAAACTGGTAAAAACCGGCAAAAACCAAATTATCTAAATTGCTGATTAAATATTATTACAAAATACTTGAAACAAATTTAAATCAGTCATAAGGAATAATAATTTTGATACATTACATGAAAAAATTATTTTTAACATATTAATAATTAATATACCTAAGGGTAATAATTTTTAAAAGATTGAAAGTTTTTGATCTCTTTTCATTTTAGAATCCTAAAATAAATGTTTTTTTACAAATAAATATTATTATTTGTATAATACTATTATTTATTATAAAAAATTATTATTTGTACAATAATTAACTACACATGTTGATAGATATTTTATGCTTTAAATTATATTTGTATTAATTTAAAAATAAGTTCATTTCACTGGAAAAAAGAGAATAATCACAAATTTTCCAATCAATAATGTTTTAAACTACTAAAATGATACATTATCACATAATTATGGAATAATAGTTTTGTTAATTTTTTTGTAATTATTTATATTCATAGTATATATTTCAATTTTAGGAATAATTTTGTATCAAAAGTGTGTTTTTGTCCTCTCATCTTGGAAAATATAGGTTTTTGCCACTTTGCTTGGCAAAAACCTGTTTTTGCCAGGACGGTTTTTACCGGTATTTACCATGGTTTTTTCCACCTGCGGCAAAATCTTGCCAACTCTGACTTATATTAGGTTGTAAGATGTTAGTTTAAGCAGGATTGTTGATTTTTTTGCTAGTTATTTATTGTTAGCTTGTTTTTTACGGTTACAAATTGTTTTTTTTAGTATTAATTTTTAATTTTTTTATTAATAATTGTTTATTATTTTGTTTGTTTTTTGTGAATTTTAATTTAATTGTTGCATATGCTTCATAGCGTAATAACATTTGTGTAATAACAATTCATAGTGTAGCAACAATTGTGATCGGTGGAGTGCCCAAAATATCCCTGCTGCAGGGTAATGTATAGAATCTTTCACAAAACGGATGGAAAGATTTGTGTAAATTTTAGAAGCAATGGAATACCTGTGACAAAGTGCGGGTGTCTCTACCCGGGATTGGTTAATTTAACGTGGTATTTCTTCACGTTATCGACTGTTTTTTCCGCTCTATTTCGAGTAAGTTAAGCCCGTCAAATATCAATTCTCTAAAGTGATGCATTCTTAATTCTTTCACGAAGATTCTCTCTCCAAGATTATAATTCTTTCACTATATATTAACACAGATACTTAACGCAAAGAGAGGCACGAAGTCACTTGGAACATAAACAAACCAATTATGCATCGGATTTGTGAGGCACACAAAACAAGAATATATCACGATTAGAATAAAATACATAAACAAATAATAATTCTAAGTTAAGTAAGAGAAGTAGCCGAGAAAGAATTATATTTCAACTAATTCGATGAACGATATGGCTCTTTGTTTAATTATCCTTAATTTGCATTCTAACATATGTAGAGAAATTTAGTTCAACTTTAATGCACCATTTTGCTGATAAAAATTACCTGGCTCCGACGCCATAGGTAACATGTGTGGGTAGGGGAGAGTGGAGTCAATTGCAACATTTTTTACTTAACTATTTTCAACTAACAAAAAATCCAATATATTATTAGTATTAATTGACAGACGAGTAAAGTAGACTATCCTCTACTAGAAAAAAAAATAAATAACTTATTTTACATGTTATTATATTAATTATTAACAATTTTTGACAGTCGTGCACTTGTTGCAATTGTCCCCACTTACGGGGTCAATTGTAACAGTTCATAAATTGAACTAAAACATAGTTAATTATAAATATTATCATAGTTGTGATATATTTTTTTATTGATCAAAATAGTAGTGATATTTTGGCAGTAAAAACAATAATGACCAGAGACCTAAAGGTTTAAACGTTTAACTTTAAGGGGGTAAAAATTTTAATTTATGCACTTAAAGGTGACAAATAAAATAATATACATGCAACATAATATAAATGATATAGGAAACTATTGGTGGTTCTTAAAGAGTTAAGTAATGGTTTGTAAACATAAGATTATTTATTTTCAGCTGTTACAATCGTCCTCAAGACGCCTTTTCAGCTTCATTTGTTGAAAACAATGCTAGTTAATTAACAAAACTAATTTTTTTTCTATTGAAATGTTAATTAACGTGAACACTTACATATTCGGTTAATAATTTTTCATTGTTTAAACAAAATTACTTTGTTACAATATAATATTCTAATACCAAAAAAAGTACTTACGTAGCGTGAAAATATCTTTTGTGATGTAACTCTTTCAAAAGTACATAAAAATGGTTGCCAGCAGGAATGTACATGTAGATTTATTAAATACACCTTGTGCGCCACCTAGGAACCAAATCTAGAACCCGAAAGTCGAAATTTTTGCTCTGTTGCAACCGTACCCTGCTATTACAATTGACTCCACTCTCCCCTATGGAAGGTCTTCTTCTTGAAGACCAACTCTCATATTTTAACATACATTATTAAAATAATTTTTACTATTTTAAAGAGAAGAAAATAAATAATTAGTATTTTTTTTCCATTTTTAAAGGAACACTTACAACAAAAACGTCAGAATCTTCAGTCGTCCAGTTCCGTGATGATTTATGAATCCATCGGATGCAAAACACCTTAGCAACCTCATGATCCCACTCTAATCTTGATCCGAATCTTCGATCTTTTAGAGAAGGGATGATGAAATCTTGTAACAATCGACATTCCTGTATAAAATAAATAAGAAGCAAAATTACATTGTTGAGGGAAATTTTCCTAATAAAAGGCAAGAATTAGTGAATAAAACACTATTAACTTTTTATTTAAAAAATGTGGATGAAAAGAAAACTATATCGAAATTTATCAAATCACTAGCGAGGAAGGTGGAAGGAAAACAACTGAAAAAGTGATAAACACGCGCATCGAGAAAAAGCAGCTATTTAGAATTATTTTAATTTTTACATAGTTAGAAGGGTTCCTTCATATAAAGCAAAGAATGCTTCAAAACAACTCCGAAACAAATAATAATAGAATTTTAAAAATTTCATCTTCCAATATATTGCAAAAAGTGCTAAACAAAATTAGGCAAAAAATTATCAATATGGTTCCGAACCGAAAAATAATCGACGTCAATTTTTCCAACCATGAAGAAAAATTGGATTTTAATTAATTATCATTTTATCAAACTTACTAAGCAGTATTACCGGATTGGGCTGAAAGTACTTGTTTTTTTTAAAAATTTCTGGCGTCTGTTCTGAAAGGTACCGATTTTGTGAAAATTTAGGCATAATTGGTGAAAAATTAAAAATTATATTGAAAAATCAAACACAAAAACATGGTAAAAATACAGACTTATCGTTTATTTATCAAAACAGCTCCAAAACGAATAGTAATCGAAGTTAAATTTTTCAACCATAAAGAAAAATTGGATTCTAATTAATTACCATTTTATCCAACTTACTAAGCAGTGTTACCAGATAGGGTTGCAAGTACTTATTTTTTAAAAAATTTCCTGGGTCTGTCCTGATTTTTCTGAAAGGTACCTATTTTGTGAAAATTTAGGCATAATTTGTGAAAAATTAAAAATTATATTAAAAAATCAACACAAAAACATGGTAAAAATACAGACTTATCGATTATTTATCAAAACAGCTCCGAAACGAATAATAATCGACGTCAATTTTTTCAACCATAAAGAAAAATTGGATTTTAATTAATTATCATTTTATCAAACTTACTAAGCAGTGTTACCAGATAGGGTTACAAGTATTTATTTTTTTAAAAATTTCCTGGATCTGTCCTGGTTTTTCTGAAAGGTACCTATTTTGTGAAAATTTAGGCATAATTTGTGAAAAATTAAAAATTATATTAAAAAATCAACACAAAAACATGGTAAAAATACAGACTTATCGCTTATTTATCAAAACAGCTTCGAAACGAATAATAATCGACGTCAATTTTTTCAACCATAAAGAAAAATTGGATTTTAATTAATTATCATTTTATCAAACTTACTAAGCAGTGTTACCAGATTGGGCTGTAAGTACTTATTTTTTTAAAAATGTAGTATATCTGGGGTCTGTCAAGGATTTTCTAAAAGGTACTTATTTTGTGAAAATTTAGGCATAATTTGGGAAACATTAAAAATTATATTAAAAAATCCAACACAAAAACATGGTAAAAATATAGACTTACCGTTTCTTAAGGGATACAAAAATAAAATTTTAAGAAAAAGTATTTTGTGAAATTTCCTGAAGTTGAATTTGTGAAATTACCATTTTACCTTAAATTGAATTTGTGAAGGTACCGCTAAACGGTAGTAAATTTGGACTGGACAGACCCCTGTATATGTATATAAGTTAGAAGTATTTATATACAATAATTTCGTATTTTTATTGCGATGAAATCTTAAGTTACGAAGTAATTATTTACATTAATTTTTGATCATTTCTAAATTTGTTGTAGAAATTTTGAATATAAATGGTGCTATGGTGCCGCATACTGTCATATAAATGAGCAACAGCACATACTCATATCTATTGATATATTTTACTTTGACTATATTGATACAACATTAGAAAGCGCGAGATAATGAAAAGATTATATCTTTTCATAATTTTGTTTTCCAGCTATTTATTTTTTTCAAATTTTTTTTTATATATTTAAAAAAATATTCCATTTTAATAAAATTTTCTTCTCTTTTCATATATATACACCGAAGCGAAGAGCCATTACATTATGACCACCTTTAGCCCTCAAAACTGCTAGCGCCAGCCGTGGCATTGATTCCACAAGGTGCTGATAGGTAGTCTGAGGTATCTGGTATCAAGCGCTCACCAACTGTTCTTGCAATTCCCTCACATTGCGAGGGGGTAGCGTGGCAGCACGAATTTGGTTTTCCAAGTAGGACCACAAATGCTCTATTGGATTAAGGTCAGGTGAATTTGGGGGCCAAGACATGACTTGAAAGTCACTGGAGTGTTCCTCGACGATTCGACCCTTATGATATGGTGCATTATCCTGTTGGTAAACAGCATCCCCCGCAGGAAAAACTGTTACCATGAATAGGTGAACCTGGTCTGCAAGTATGTTCAAGTAGCTTACAGACGTCAGGGATTGTTCTATGAGGATTATGGGTCCTAATGTGCCCCATGAAAACATTGCTCCTGGGCGAAAAACCATGAAAACCTGGGCTAGCCCATTGTTATAGATGGAGAATGGTCATAATGTAATGGCTCTTCGGTGTATATATATATATATATATATATATAGCCACACGATACTCAACTACTCGAAAAGCGGCTTGATCTTCGATAAAATGCAAAATGCTAAGCTAACAAATCAAAATTATCTAAACATAGTATTGCATTTACTCATTCGCTAAAAATAAATTTAGCATGAGTGAATACACATATATCGCATTTTTTGAATTTTATTTATATTGGTTTAAATAACATTTAAATAATATCACTGTAATTCCTTAATTTTAAATATGTTTTCATTTAACTATCATATTAATTTTGTCATCATATCAATTAGATTTCTGAAATTTCATGCTTCCTTCTCCTAAGAAGACATGTCTTTTACCTCTCTTTAGCAAACAATAAATCTGTCTCGAAGATGTCATCCAAAGTTCTCCTGAATCAAAATTCGGTACTTAAGTAAAAGAATCACACAATAAATGATACTAATTACATTAATTGGCAATAATACTTAAATACTGAAAAAGTGATGCCATTTTTTTATGAAATTACATAAGAAATCTTCGGGAATTTTATAAAATATACAAAAGTTAGCAGAATTTTTAATTGAACCTCGGCCATCGAACGGAATTCAGTATATTGGAAAAGATAGCATTCGCATTATTGTTGATACTGTAAATAAATAACTTACTCTGGCTTGAAGCTTCTTAGGTTTCGTTCGAGGACCCATTATTTCAAGAGGATTGTAGAGATTTTTAAATAATGATCGCACCAACAAAACCTCGTTGACACAACTCTTTGCTCTGGGATTGATGCGCTTAAAAACGAGGGTTTTAAAAAATATTAGCTTTGTGATTTGCCAATTATATTTGGTAACGCCCCTCTGATTGGTCAGGATTTTGTTCTCTTAAATTACGACTTAAAAAAAAGCTGGAGTCGAGGAAGGCGTCGAATTGTATGAACATAAAGTAAAAGAATAATCATTCCTATTTTGTTTTTGTTTTTCAATTCTGACGGGTGCAAAGAGTGAAATATGTATACTGTTAATTTAAACAAAGTTCTATTAATGTGTAGTTATGGAACCCTGTTTGGTAAATTTTTCTCACTGAAGACAGACTTAATAAATGAAGTTCTTTAACAATCGTGAACATATATTACTAATAATTCAGTTGTATACTATATTTTAGCGTTAACAGGAATAATTTTTGAGTTCTGAAAGATTTTTGCCCAAAAATGATGAAACTTTTTAAAAGTTTTAAGTTCATATTTTTTTAAACAATTTCTGCCAAAGATATATATTAACAGTTATCACGGTGTAAACATGTTGATGTAAATATTCTGCGGAAAAAAAACTGAAGCAATAAGTTGTTAAGATTCTGAGGAAAAGTACTTCAAAAAAGGTCAGTTTTAGCATTATTGGTATATGGGTGATTCCTCGGAAACATGACAATTCGGAAGGGAAAAAAATTCTTCAAATTTTAAGTTTTCAAAATAATCACAAATTTTTTTTTTATATATTTATTTAGTTACACTTATTAATATCTTACAGACAGCAGTGTAGTTCATTGACATTTTCTCAAGAAAAAAAAATATATAAATTCACCAAATATTGAATGCCAGAAAAATGACATATTAGCTTAGAAGTTAAGAAAACGGTCATTTTAAGCTAATAGTAAGTAAAGACAAAGTTGAAAAGATAAATTTAACTTTTTATGTAAATAAATTCCAAAAATAATTATTGTGTATAATTTGAACATACCGTTTCTTCTCGGCTTTACGTTTCTTTCTTCTGAGTTTATTTTTCCTTGATTGTTTTTAGGCTCCATGTTTTAAAATAATCTAGTAAAATTTATTTTATAATAATTTACATCGGAAATTTTTTTAATATATTATTTAAATTTAAAATATCTCAAATCATTTTATTTTACAACTTTATCACATTCCTTAATGTATACCCCCATGTAGAGTTTAAGGACTATGACAGAATTAAATTGCACAGTGATGTTCTTAGCTTATGCTTTATATTTTAACTATATGTGTTATGAAAAAAAAATAACCTAAAGACTTTGCGTTAGATGGACCATGAATAGTTTAAATTAATTCTTTTATCCACTGTAGAAAGAATAAAAAATGTTTTTGTTGCTGACATGTATAGAATAAAATTGTGTGTAATAATCAATCATTAAATAACTTTTATTACATACAAGCATATTGCAATATTACATAAACTGGGTATTAGGTTAATATTGGCTTTCCCTCTTAACACTATAGTGCAGTGATTCTCAACCTTTTTTGGGGGGTGGGGCACACTTTTAACGATTTCGAAATTTGAAGGCACACAATGAAAAAAATTAGTTTAAAAGTTGTTTACTTACCCATAATATATTGTGTTAAATAGTTTGTGATAATAATTTTGAATGTGAAATGAAATAATGTGTACTGCAAAAGCACGTTTATTAAGGGATTAATTATTTCTTTCGACTAATTTTTTACTAGTTAGTAACAGTTATTCACTTTTTTTTGCTAGTTATTAATTGTTAGCCTGTTTTCTATAGCTATTGACTGTTATTTTTTGTGATTTCTTGTTAACTAGTATTTTTGGTGATTATTAATTGTTAGTTTATTTTTCTGTTAGTTATCCTTTGTTAATTTGTTTTTATAACTATTAATTGCATAGCTTACTTTAATGATTAGCTTTTATTTCCATTTGAAATTTAATATTTAGCTTGCTTTCCTTTGTTGATTAATAATTTTAATAGTCATTAAATTTCCTACTTATTTCAGCATTTTTTAAAATTGTCAAAGACAATTTAAACACTTCTTTCATATTTTAAGATTGTCAGAGACAAGACAATTACCGACAAAGATGTTCACGCGGTTAAAGCGTGGAAAAATTATAAAATGTATATATATACAGGGTTATTCATAATTCCCTCCGGGGTTTCGAAGCGTTATAGTAAAAAAAAGAAGACGAATATGAAGAAAAAAAAAAGAAACGTATGAAATTATTCCGAAACTATTCAAGTTTTACTTACATACATTACAGGTGTTCTATGTGTGAACCCTTGGTCACACGGCATACATCAATGCGATAGTCCAGCTCCTGCCCGGACGGAATTATGAAAAAACCCTGTATGTATAATATTATATATATATATATATGTGCTTAGATTCACAAATATATTATTACTTTTCATTACTTCCAAATAAATATATAATAATTGATAACCACATAAAAATTTTACCGATAATNTGGCGGCACATTTTAAGAATTTGGCGGCACACAAAAGTGCCGCGGCACAGTGGTTGAGAATCACTGCTATAGTGTTTAAAAAAAAATCTAATAACGCATTCATAAAGACAGTAAAATGACAGCCCGAATAATGACAATTTGCCATTTTACATCATTTTACTTTACTGTAATTTCGGTCTAAGACGTTTACTTTTCGCAGAAAAAACAGGATTTCTTGAAATAACTCAGGTAAATCTCTGTAGTTAATGTTATTAATGATTTCAAGAAGACAGGAAAACGACAACATATAAACCTACTCACCTTGTAAAATTTTTTGAAATAGATTTTTAACCAGAAAGTTGGCTCTTTATTGATGAAATAAGACATGTTCTGATAGGATGGTATTTTACTCTATCTCCTAATCTAAGCTATTGATTGCTTGCCTTATCTATTTTGGTTATAAATTACTAAAAAAAAGTGGCCAGGAAAATGACTGATTTTCATGGGTCAAACAAATTATTGACAGAAAAAATTATTTTCCACAAAGTTTTTTGGAAACTAATACCTTTAGCATATATTCCAGAAATGCTTACAACGATTTGAAAAAATTAGATATTGAAAAATTTATGGAAAGTTTTGAAGCTAGTTATTATTGAAAATATTGTATGTGACAATAAGCCAGGAAAATAACATTTTAAAATTCAATTAATTTTTTTTTACATATACAAAACAGTCAATGTTAATGCAAAGTCATTTTAAAATGCTAACAGCAATGTTATTTATTAAATTTTTTAAAAAAGTTCTTCTAGTAGTATAGAATTATATCTTGGAGTAAAAGACTGTCAATTGTCGTATTTCGTGAGAATCACCCATATGCTCCAAGACTCTCCTTAAAATTAGGTTTTATCTCCAACGATGGTTGATCTACAACGATATCTAGGTGAGTTCTAAATTTATTTTAGGCGCATGGTAGCAGCAAATAATATTAAGTTTATAATAAACAAGTATAAACATAGTTTTTTCTTTAACACATAACCTTTTCATAATTTATTCAACAGATTGTTATTTTAAAAATAAAAGTTTTTTTAAACTTATCTATTTTTTCTGGCATTTTGCTCAATTTCATAAAAAAGAACAGTTATTTATAAATGATAGCATCTATATTACAGTTAAAAAATATTTTCCTTTGTAAACTTTCCTCGGGAGAACTTTTGTAAACCGCTGAAGTTGAGTAGCGTTTTTGTAGACTCTTTATAATTTCAGAAATTCAATTCGTGTTTACGATATACAGCGGTAAATATTTCTCACGCTAAACATCGAATTATTTAAACAAACAGTGTGCAAATGGAATCGATAATACACTCAGTAAAACTGATTTACAGTTGAAACATAATAACGGTTGAAAAATTTCCCAGCAACCCGTTCATTTTTGAAACAGCCCGTTGTGGGCAGGGGTTACGAAATTTAAGTAAATTGAAAAATTAAACAAGGTTAGAAAAAAAATTAGCAGCGAGTTGCAAAAGAGTAACTAAACATAGTTGCAAAATTAAGAGGATAATTAAAAAATTTAAACGATATGGGTTGAATAGTTTCCAAATAATAAAATTTTAAGAAAAAGATATTTAATATATAATTTAATATTTGTATAATTTATATATTAAATGTCTCTTAATTTAAAACATAATTTTATACTTGCATATAATTTTACATTATATATTAAATATCTCTGAATTTAATTTATAACTTTTTCTCAAGAACTATGCGACCCATTCCTTGAAAGTTTGTATTTCGTCATTTACATTTAAACAGTTTAAAATGATGTAAAAATTTACATAATTTACCATTCAAAATATTTTCGACTCTTATTAAATATGATGCTATTGAAAATTATTTTTACACTGCTATTAAAAATTATTATCGGATTACACGGAATTATGTTTGTAATGTATGGAATATTACATTAAAATTATTACACGGAATTATGTATGAATGAATCAAGCATACATATGAGTGAAAATGTTTTTGATTCGTTTGAAAAAAAATTGTGATATGGAGATAGATGTGAACAGGGAAATTAATATTGAGGGACCCAAATTTTCCTCCGATCTTTCATCTGCACAATCAAAACTATAGCAGATCCGTGCGCAGTGAAAAAGCAATTTTCAAAATTGCTCTTTCACGGCGACAAAGAAAGTCCTCATTTCTTTTTCACGTTGCAAACAAAGAATTCAAAGATCAAGCGTGTGAGCTTTCATAAGCATAAAGCGTAATCATATATGTTTGAACCGCAATGGCTCAGGGGATAGAGCGTTCGCTTTCCAATGAGGGGAACAGCGTTCAAATCCAAGTCGATACGAATTCCGCATCCGGCTTGCACCGACCACAGTGCTGACGTGAAATATCATCAGTGGTAGACGGATCATGGGTTAGAGTCCCCTTACTAACCGTGGGAGGTTCTCGTGATCTTCATCTCCATGTAACGCAAATCCGAGTTAGCTCCATCAAGATGTCCTCCACGAAGGAATATTTCTCCTAATACTCGATCCAGGA